GCCTGGGCTAAAGGGTTTGCATGCAGTTGCATGGTCTTTGCAGACACAGGGAGAGAAGAGCAGGTCCAAGTGTGCCATATTGGATCATTCTGACATCACCATTTTCCCAAGTGAATTTCAGGCTGAGCAACCATGGCCTATGTTGGGTTAGATGCATATTTCAACTCAATGTAACCCAAAATGTACAGAGGAAAAAAAAGAATTCGCAAGATTAATTTATTCATAAGATTAGTAGTGAGAGCCGATCACCACCACATTCTTCAGAGAAATAATTTCATTGGACCACACATTTCACTGGACCACACTAACAATCCTGGTGGGTTTCACTGTTCCCTTTAAAAATTAGGAAACCAAGACCCAGAAAAGCCTCACAGGAAGTGGGGTTTGCTCTCCATGGCCACTGTCTCTTTACTACACCTACCAGGAGTCTGTCAGTAGTTTCAACCATGCATTACAGAGTGGTTAAAGAAAATGTGTAGTATGTACACAACGGAGTTTGATTCAGCCATGAAGAACAAAATTATGTCATTTGCAAGAAACATATGGAACTGGCAACCATTGTGTTAAGTGAAATAAGATCGACTAGGAAAGGCAAGCATTGCATATTTTCTCCCATGTGTGCAACTTGATCTATACGTATATGAGTATAATATACATAAATATTGTATATGACATGAACATAGAATGGAAACTGTTTTGAGGAGATTTAGGGAAATAATGGGAGAGAGTGATGGGAATGACTATGGTCAAAGCATATTGAATAAAAATGTCATTTTTAAAGTTATCATTTTGCATAGTAAGTATAAGCTGGCAAAAAAAATCTAAGAGTAAGTGGTTTCCTATTTGCGAACTGGTGGTTATCAACCAGAAGGCTTGTGCTGAGAGTCAAACTTTGTAAAGATTGACATTCAAAAGCTGAAACCTACTTGGTTGCAGAGAATGGATGTAGGGTTTGGGTGAGAGCTAGTTGGTGGTTGGGATGGATGTGTTCTCAATTTGTTGGGCTTAATGATTTAGGAACCCCAAGGATCTTCGTTCATTTTTTCCTTCGGAGCTTGTCTTGCAGACAAAACCACTTCCCTTCTTTACCATGGAACAGATATTAAAGAGAATGAACTTCATGATGTAGGATAAGAGGATACAAAGCTACACAATGGATCTCCCTCTAGGGGGAGAGATTCCCAAAGAAGAACTCTTACCCATTTATTTGATAGGGATGAAAGTCTTAGGGGTTGTAGAGCAGCCTCCTCCAAATGGGGAGGTGATCTCAGAAAGCATGTAACCTAGTCACTAATGGACTAGGGTCAAAAGAGATGAATTTCTTGTCTGTGCATCCATGAGGCTTCTTCTAGAGCCCATGATTCAGTTTGTGAAGAAGCAAGCCATTTACACACACACTCTTTAAATGCTATTAAAGTCAAATTGAATCAAACACAGTAAGTGTGGGTATGTTGTCTCTAGGCATGGGGCTGGGGAGATTTTTATGTATAACGGAGAAAGAAATCTAAGTTCCAGGTCTTCAGAGTTAAAGGACCCCTGAACTCACCACATGGCTGTGTCTCTGCACACTGTGGTATACTGCTATTTAAAAAGTCTCTAAACATACTTTTTTGGAAAATGAATAATATTAACACATTTTTTTCTCAGAAGAGGGAAGATAACTACAGATAGCCTAACCCCAGGTTTCATACATGCATGCAAGCAAAAACTCGACCTAATACATTCATCTGAGGCCCTATGTTCTCCTAAGGTGGCTTTAGTATTGCCAGACTTAAGGGATTCTAGTAAGCACTTCAAAAGAAGTATGTTCTGTCTGAGTCAATAACAATGAAAGAAGAAGACATTGGAGATGGGTACCATACTGGGAAAATTCTTGTTTCTTCTTAATATTCTGAGTAGTCCTAAGTTAAGCAGACCATGGAATTTGTCAGGAATAGATAGATAAATAAATAAGACCGTGTGAGCTCTCTACTATTAAAAACACGGAAGAGAGGAAATTCTCCTCCAAGGAGATATTTTCTTTTGAGAATTGGAAACAGATACACAAAGATACTTCATTGTGGGAGAAACTGCCTTGAGAACATAAATTTTTAAAACTCTGTCTAACCAAATGAAAGGTGGATCATATTTTAATAGACTTTATTTTCCTGAAACTGTTGCGATCGAATCTAGGGAATCTTATCTGGTTGTGTGTATTTTTTTTAAACGTTTGACACCATCAGCCACACACTTCCTGATTTAAATAAACCCGGGCATGAGCTGGACTAAACTTTTCAAAGGAACCTTTGGGGATTTCTGTAAACATCATCTACTTAGTAAACACTTGAAAGGACGTCTGTTTGTGTTTGCTTTTTTATTTAAATACATATATCAACCTACTGACACAGAAGGGAAGAAGGATGAGGAGAGGGAGGAGAGCAAAGGAAAGGGAGAGAGGGGAAGAGAAACAGAGAGGGACAGAGAGACAGGGAGGGGAGAAATGAATCCACTTCTACGCAGGAAGGAGAAAGACACCAACCCTGAGTTTTACGAGAATGTGCGGGTTGCCGCAGAGGAATACGGTAACAGCTGGAGATTACGGTACTCTCTGGGCTACCGCCTGTACTACGTCAACCAGAGCCGCAAAGTTCCTCGCCGCTCTTTTCTGGTGTCCAGGAACTGAATATCAAACCGGTGATCCTGGATTTATTGGCTCGCTGTATTTGTCTTTTCTTTTCTCTTTATCAGTCTTTATTTTTAAAAGACCCAGGAGAAGCAGAAGCGAGCCCGGAGTTTGAGGTGCTCGGCAGTGGTGGGTGAGTCAGCTGGTGCTAAGGACTAGGACTTGGTCTTAGGAGACGTCCCCTCTCCTCCCTGCAGAGAAGCAGCAGACGCTGCCAGGACTGAAGGTCCGCTCTTCTGCACGCCAGGGCCTCTGCATCCGCGCAGCAGGTGAGTAGTGCCGTGGTGCCGGGAGCAAGGCATCCCGCAGGGTCGGGTGGGAGTGGGCAGGTGTGCCTGGCCTACAGTTGACACTGGACCTTCCTCTTAGCCCCGCGTATCCGCTTTGGGACCTGCTTTGATACCAGCACCCCAAACCACCGCGTTTTCTTGAGAAGTTACCTTCTAGTTAACAAGTGTCATTTTAAACCAGTTATAGACCCCAGGTGGGAGAAATCGGTTCCGCAGTGGCGTGATTTGGGTACCGCCTGTGAGAGGACTTGAACTTGTGATTTTCACAGCAGTCTAAGATCTCTGCCTTGGGGCTCAACCCCAAAAGACAAAGTGAGCATGTCCCCAAGCCCTGCACTCCTGTCCCACATTTCCTAGTCTTTTTGCAGTTGTAGAAATCGGGCCATTTAGGTAGATCATGACCCCTAACCCAGAAAATCCCAGGCATCCCCAACTGCACGCGGATTTGATTTTTTTTTTAACCCTTAGGGAATCCGCAGTGACCGCTACTGGAGCCTGGTCCGAGGAGTGATGCGCTCCTACCCGGCTCCCCAGAAACCCGGGTGTGGCTAGAGGCTGGAATCTCTAGGGCGGATGCCCCTGGGCGATTCTGCCTGAATCCATCAGAGCCCTGTTTAGTCCTGGGGATCGGCTTTGCTGGGAACCTGGCTCTCTCTTGCGGGTGGCTAGGCTAGTAGACAGACTCGCGCGCTCTGCTCCCACGAGCGCCAATTCCGCGGGAGTGAGCGTGCGCGTGGCCCTGCGGTTCCGTGCTCTCTGAGGTTCGCTCTCCCAGGCCGCCCTCTCCAGGTGACTGTGGTGCAACCTGTTCACAAGGCGACCTGGAGGCTCCTCCAGATTCCACCGGCTTGCCTCAGTGTGACAACCCGCAGCCGCAGTCAAGCATGTCGAGCTGGGGTGGTGGTGCAGGGAGGGGGCGTTTCAGGGTTTTGTTTCCTCCATCCTGGCTCTCGAAATCCAGCTTCCAGCTACTGCGGCTTGGGGTTTTGTTGTCATTATTTGAGGTGGGAAGGTTGTTTTGATTTTTTTTTGGGGGGGGGGGCTTGGTTTTGTTTTGGATTTTGAACTTGGTCAGCCATGGGGAGGTGAAGTACTCGAAGGCAGCTTCCCAGAGGGAAGGACTAAGGAGGAGGACAAAGCACAGGATCCCCTCCTGTGTCCTCTCATTGCCTGCATCAAGGCCCCACAAAGCCACTCCTGGACTGCAGAGCAGCAGGCACCCAGCAGGAGTCTGGGCGAGCTCAGCAGGGCCTGGCTGTCTAGGGTGCGTCCCTCACTCTCCGCAT